AAATTGCCACTGATTCTTCTCCTTTCAGAAAGCCTTTTCACATATGTGGATATTTTGCTTTATTGGGTGTGTGTACAAGGTTGATTCGAACCAAATAATACTACAAAAGTATGTTTGAAGATCAAGGGACTCATGCCTTGCAGTTCGCTAATACAAACTCAACATAGTTGGCCATGATCCGATGTGTTTCTTTCGATGGGTGTCTGTAAACAAGATCAGCAATGCCAGTCCCCAGAAGGGAGAAAAAAACACCTACCCAGGAAGCCAGTAGAATGAGTTTAACGGTGTCGAACACTCCCCAGCCAGATCAGTCTGCGACAAGTTCGGGATACACGACCCAGAAGTATCATATCCGAACGCTGCGAAGCCAGGGGAAGCACCTAGGACCGCATCCCAGAGCGGTGCGAAATCGACGAAGGCGACATTGAGACCTTGTGCGCGGAGCGTGCTGAGTCCGCTAAAAACGGCTTGCTTGAAGGCATCACCGGTGGCGGAATGTGACCCACGTCCATAGTCATCGAGGACAACAATATTTTTGGCATTTGTTGGCGCTGCAGCGAGCTGTTTAATTTGTGTGAGGAGCTCTGCGGCAGCTTGGGGGAGGTGGTTTCCATCGGCTATGAAGTGATCTAGCTGCGAAGCCCCGCGGAGAATGAAAGTCGCTACATACTGCTGGAAGCGCCAACGTCGCTGGAGACTCAATGTCAAGCTCGCATCCATACGAATGCTAATCTCCATAGCTTACTTGATTCCAAAGAAAACAGTGTACAGTGTAGTCGCGGGGGTGAGGTTGTTATTTTGGCTGAGGAAGAGGGCAGCTGTAGCCAACCTGGGTAAACGCAGTGCCGATGACGATCCACACACCGCACCTTGGTGAAGAAAGTCTGAGTGGCCTGCCTCGCTTGGCCAAAGTGTCACATTGATTACCGCACCAGAAACCTCGCGCAAAAATTAGTACGGCGCGAGTTGTCTTTTCTGGAGAGATGGGGTACAGCGTAGTCCCTGATGGTCGCACCCAAATCACTCGCTACATTCTCAGCCCAAACGGGCCCGTCCGTGACGCGGCCGCCGGCACGAGGACTGGTGCCCACGAGAACGGCAGCCGGAAGCGGGCCGCCATCGCTGCGTCCGCCCGACGTGTACGAATCCTACTTACTCACGGTCAGCTTTGGGAAGGAAATCGGACACGCATGTAAAAGCTTACCCCAAAGGCGACGAGTGTCTTCATACCGGCTGTGACGACACCCGCGTTGGCGTTCGCAAACGTTCCGCCAAGTTTACCGCACGTCGGGGTGATAGCCAGGTGCACACCGTCGTTGGTCTGCCGTGCGATACGCTCTGGTATGGCGCGTACCACGGATAAAAGTGCGAAGAGGGTTGTCCAATAGAGCATTATGGTGTTTGAAGAGGTAGAGCGGCCGACTCTTGGTCTTAAGAGTGATTTACGACTGAAGAGGAATAAGACCTTGTGATCGTCGCGGTCCGCAGAAACTACCGCATCACCGATTTGGAACCGGTCCGGGGGTCTGGTGAACGAGTAGGAGGGCTACCGGAAGTGTTTGGGAGAGAGTTTTCAACCTCGAGACGGTCATCACGCGGGTTGACTTCTAGGACATAGTGCAGAATACCGACAATGGGGGCAGAGTTGGCGACAATGACTGGGATTATTCTAGTCGCCGTCCGCGGCGCACACCGTCCACACCGCAGAGCACAGAAGCCCCCGACGCGCACCGGACATGTGCAGATCAAAGGTCGACCACGCACTCGGTCTCGCTGGGCGACGAGCAGCAAGTCCGCGTGGTGGACGCGAATGCGGTAGCGCAGGATTTTGGGCGGGGCGGAGAGAACGATGCCGGGGGAGGCGGGGTGTAGTCGAGGCGAGCGAAACTGCGGCCTGCGGCAGGGATGAGCACGGATGACGCGTCAAGCGGGTTGTGCCTCCGCTCCATAACCCCGAGACGACTCCTACATGCGCCCAGGCCGCGCGTCCGCCATAAAACACCCATCCGCATCAAACCCAGTCTCACGAGTAGAATACGCATCCAGCCGCCGATGCACTCGACGTGCACTGCGCTGCACTGGATGAGCGAGGGTATCGCGGAGAACGAAGCAGGCAAGCACCCGCCAGGGAGGAGCAGCGGGTGCCGCGCAGCATCTGCCTACGCCACCGATCAGGCGTATCGCAAAGGAGGAGGAGGCTCGCGCGATGTAGATGCACCCGTCGGACGAAGGCGCGGGTACCAGTCTCACGCGCACCGACGGGGCGGCCGACCATCCCATCTCCCCAGGAAACCACTTCATACGCCTGCCACGTCCTCCCTCGACCCGTGAGCTCGACAGCATCATCTGCTTTACCCAGCACGGTCCACGTCTTGCGCCAACCGTTGGAGCCCGCGACTACGACACACACCCGACAGACCCTGATCCCCGCCCACTTTCGGCTCGGCCCCGGAACGAGCTGAGGGCCCCGACGCCCCACAATGTGGCGGCAGAACACCTGCTACATCCTCCGTATGCGCTCCTGACCACGACGCACAGCAGCGCGCACATCGCGCACGCCACGAGGCACACCTCGCCGATCTCAGCCCCACGACCCATGCCCTCCCGCTCCCGCCGCCCATGATCGATCACGACGCAAGCACACCGGCCGCGTCCGGGAGTCGGGCAGGGTCCGCGCCATCCATGATCGAGGTCGAGCACGCATTCGGTCTCAGCGAGGGGCGATGTGGGGTGGAGGGGGACACAGCGAGGCAGCGCAGAGGGCGACCCAGGATGACGTTGGCGCGGAGCGTAGGTGTCGTGTATTTGGGGCGCGGGGGGCGGGGGCCGGCTGCGATCTGCAAATGGAAAGGAGATATATCAGCGTGAGTCGTATGCCCAGCGGGGTAAGCAAGAATGAGTGGGAGACAGGGACGACGCAGCAAAAAATGGGATGCGCCTCCGCTCCACAACCCACAGCACGAAGACGCAGGGAGGCGCGAAGTCGAGGCTGCAGCGTCGAACGAAGAGGATGATAGAAAGAGACGGAGGGGAGACGGAGAGGTCATAAGGGGCAGGTATATATCATCTCGCCACAAACCAGGAAGAGAAAGGGAGACCAGATTAGGGCGCAGCCATCGAGCGCAGCATCTTGCATCCAGCTCCAGTACAAGTGTCGTCCATTCACTGAACTCCACCCTCGTAACGCTCTTCGCCAGCCTTTACCGCAATTTCAGCCCAGTTTTGTTACTTGAAGCTGCGTGAATCGAGGAAGGCCTGCTTTGGAACGGTTTGTGCGCCGGCTAGATAAAACATGGGTTATCCGGTGGTACAGGCAGTTTGAGGGCGAAAACGAAGTGGAGGAAGAGATCAACAGGGGTGTTTGGTTCGGATGCCGACGGTTTGGGAACGAAATACCGCCCTCCTTGCTTTCTACTTCAATTCTACGTTGCCCTTCATGGACGGCTTGGCCTCCCGTTCTTTTTCGAGACTCTCGTTGTGCCCTTGTAAAGTCCGGAGCCTCTGCCGCTTGTCTGCCGCCTTGATTGTTTTGTCTTGCTGGGCAACTTCACGACTTTCACGCATTCGTCGACGAGTACGAACTCCGGGCGGAACCTCGAACGATTCAAGAACAAACGTCCTTTCCCAGCTTTGGCGCTTCCAAACATGTATATTAAGATTAATGACTATCGCTGGCGCTGGCGCGGGCGCGGGCCAGCCGGGCTTTAAGCTTCAAGCTTCGAGTTTCAAGAGGCAAACGCCTATTGCACCGCCGACCCGGCTCTACCCCAAGACGTAGGCTCGGGACCTTCTTAATAATATACAGACGGCAATAGTCAATCCACCCGCATTTTCTCTCCCCGCATATCCTTGAATCGCCTGAAAGCTACTTCTCGACTCGAGCATTGTCTGCTCGGCGCTTGGTGCCCGTTCTTTGTGCTCCAGCTCTCTGAACCGATTATTCTTGTCAGTGCTCCATGGCCCTGAACTCGCACTGAATGCCCGACATTCCGGCGCGCGGCAGCAGTTCGTCAAGGCGCGGTCTGAGATACACCTTGTCAAGTCAGTGCACTGAAGTCTGCATTGCCTCAAGTGCCTCTCTCGATGCCATCGACCCCATATGAATCTCAAAATACTGTATGTTCCGATTTCCGTCTTGCGTAGTACCGACCACTCCGTCCTTGGCTACAACTGACCCCTTCGATTTTTCCATCTCTCTGAATTAGTCAAGGCACGTATCTGCCGTCAAGCGCAACCTACCTCGAACTATCTTACGGCGTCGGCTCCCCAAATTAAGAATTCATCATGCAAGTGGTTCCGGTCGGCTGTAAATTGGAGAGGTGACCATCTTCACACTCACGTGGACTTGAGGCGCCATTATTCATATGGCACCAAACACTCAATCCACCTCTCATTTTCTCTCCCCGTCCCCGTCCCTCATTGTGACCCCGTTCTCCGCGTCGTGCCCGTTCCGTGCACCTTTCAAGCCCGATTAATATTATCCGAGGCAACTACCCTGACATCCAATGTTCCGGCGCTATGAATCCGTCAAGCCACAGCCTGAGGGAGAATCCCATGTCCCAAGGGAGACTTGAATGTCCGCTGCTCGCAAGCACCATCACTCTGGTACACAATACCGCCCCCGTGTGCGCAGGCAGCATTGCAAAGTTGTCCACCGTGGAACCAGTAGCAGGGCCCAACCCACAAATGAATCTTTCCTCTATCAACATCTAACCTCTACCTGGGTATAGGCTATTTGAGCAATGCTCCAACGCTCAGAGCTTGATCACGACGCCACAATTCAACCTCTCACATCAGAGGCTCGCCGCCAGACGCGTCGATTCGCAAATGCGAGCCTCATTCTTTTGATATCGATGTACGTAGTACGGCGTTGAAGAAAGGAGAGAGAAAATGACTGTATCCCAGCGACTTGAAAATTGTTATTGACGAAGACTCAGCCACTTGGATGTATGGATGCATTGTCTCCGCCCTTTGCGGAAAAAGACAAGCCATACAGCTACTGCATTAAGAGGGAATCGAACCCCCGGCGGGTCGAATCTGCAGATTATCAAATCCTATGTGGCAACGACCCAGGTTACCACTACCCCATTAATGCTGTGATAACATTGCCACTTGGAACAGCTATGTACACGGATGCCCAAAATCTACTAAGTCCGATAGGGGTAAGGGACTCGTGATTTTCCGAAGGTTTTCTGTTGCGTTTGACATGCGGTGAATTGTATAACGAGGACTGCCAATGACGACCCGGGTTACTCCTACCCGATTATGCTCTGTTCGCGGAGTCTTTAAGTTGAGACACTTGAGTCTGAACCGTGGGAACACCAATTATTTTCCTCTTCTCTTGACTCACATTTGCCGGGTATTGAGAGAAATCACAATCTCGACACAGGCCGCATGGGCTGATATAGAGCTGCGGACGATGTATGAGGGGCAGATATGCTCAATGCATGGTCCGCCCATGCGGAAGGGCGCATTCTAGACTCCGGTCTCTATGTTGAATAACTAGTGCTAGTAGTAGGATGCAAATTAGTTTGGGGCAATCAGAGAAACAGTGAAAGAGAGAGAGAAAAGAGCCCGGAGTTACCCTGTTCGAGCAACCCTACCGCCGCTTTTTTCTCCTCAATCTAATTCCGGCGTACTCCGAAGAGCGAGGAGGTAGCGAGTACGGCGACTCCCGACTGCGAGCCGGGAGCCCCAAGAAAGATACATATTAGGTCGGTGAATGGCTATAAAGGCCATAAAAAGTAAAGGGATGACGAGAGAGGGCGTATGTGTGCAAGGTGATTGCATATATGTTGGAATAATCGGGATGAAAAAGAAAAGAGAGAGATAAAAAGAAAACGAGCGAAGAGAAGTGACGCCTGTTCTTTCTGTCCAAAATTGGCCGGGCGGTTCCCTACGCGCTCCGGGGCTGTCGTTGAGGGAGGGCGCATTTGTGGCAAACCCTCATTGACAAACGTTCTCGCAACGTAGTGGCCCCGTCTCCTCAAAACCTCTGGCAACTTACCGCTAACTGGCTCGCTCGGCGCATTTGTGGCAAACCCTCTTTGACCCAGCCCACTCTATTGCCTCCTCCCGTTCGAACTCATAGCGTGCTAAATTGTACTACAGTTCGTCGCGGGGAAAAGCCAAAGCCCAGGTGAGTTTTGAGCTCTCCGTGCAGAGGGTGATGGTACTAATTTCAGTCCCCTGCGAGTACATCCAGGAAACTCAAGTCCAAGGACAGCAATTACAGTTGCGGCGCAATCAAATGTCTTACCATTTTAGGAAATTCCCATCAATCCTGGCCTTTGAGACACTCATTCGCCTCGTTTCCAATCACTAAATGCCTACTGAGCGTACTACTGACGAAATATTACTTCTGGGCACCCAGAAGTACACTGAAATTAATTAAATCCCTCATCTTTCACGACATCTATCAGTTTCACAAGTTCCCTCAAAAATTGTTGAAACTGCGGTGTTTTTCTGACCTCAAACGACTGGCATGCGATGCGAATTGATGGGAATTTCCTAAAGCGGTAAGACATTTGATTGCGCCGCAACTGTAAGTTGTGCCAAAACCTAAGTTTTCGTGGGCAGAACTCTATGTCGACTGAACTGCGGTTGTGAACTTGAACTGAAGTTTTGACTCTCCCAAACTTAGGTTCTCTTGATGTCCCAAGCTCAGACCTGACATTAGAAACTTAAGTTCCATCATGATTGGTATCGGGCATAGGATGCCTATGTATAGCCTTAGCCTACGCTATTAGGAACTTAAGCCCTACAGAAACGCAAGTTTTGAATGCGGTCGAACCGCCTAGAACTTAAGTTAAGCTAATAAATTATTTGAGCAGGCATCAGGGTTCAGCGCTACTGATTAACGGGTGTATGGTTATCAGAGCGGTCAAACAAATTCGAGGGCGATATCCACGGCTTGCCGGCCCTTGCTGTAGAACCGTTTATCAATCGGACTTTTGTGCGGCGTGGCCCGGACCATGTCCATCGTCGCAAGTGTCAGCTCTCCTTCAGTCTCGACGTCACCAAGTCCCGGCCAGCGCATACAAAACCAGGTCCCGAGACGATGAACACGCGGCAACAGAAGGTCGTATAGGACTCCCATGCGCAGCCCATCGTCAAAATCTATCCTCGCTCGGCGCTCAAATGTGCCGCCGGGGGTGTGGTAACTGTTGGTGACGATTAACGTCGGCGCTGGGGGTTGCACGACAAGCATTCGGCGCCAGCTTGCGTTTGCGCGTCTAAACGCGTCCGGCGCGTTAGCCCAGGGCATCTTCATGATGGATGGGGGTCCACCGGGCGAGTCGCCGTCTGGACCTTCGGACGCAAAGAACGGCGGGAACATCGCCATTAGCAGTGGATTCCGCATTAAAGGTGAGGTGGGCTCGATGTCCGGCTGGAAAAACAGAGCGCGCTGGAGTGTGGGAGTGCGCGTAACCGCGTTCCACATTTTGCTCACACGCGAGGCGGAGACGAGGAGGTCGCGCATGGGGAGTCGAGCAAGAATGAGCTCTAAGAGCTCTGGTGTGGCGAGCGCAGTCTCCTGAGCGGGGAACATGCCAGTGGGTGCAGATTCCGTGTTTCTGCTGAAAGATTGCGCCGCCGAGTGGACTGTCACGCTGACCCGCTTTCGAAGCGACAGACGCCAGCGGTTAAACATCCAGGGACCGAACAGTTACTGCGCCCAGTCGATGAGGTGGTAGGTAAGAAGGGAAGCGAAGCGTGTGATATCAGGACGTACAGAACCCGATGCAATCATGATCGTTGACAAGGCTCCAATTGTTTTCATTTATACATGTTTTAAACGAATAAAACCGTATATATTTTCGTTTAATCTGCCAGGCCTGTAACCAATAAACAAACAGTTTATAAACAGTTGAACGGTTATTTTTTCGGCGCCTTTTGAGCAGAGGCCTTGAAGTTGAGACATAATGTTCTGCCACCATCGGATCACTCGGTACGAGCTCTGTTATACATACTTTATTGCGTGATAGTGGAAAGGTACATAATTCTCAGTTAGGTCTATACAGAGGCAGGGAGCCTGAAGAAGGCCCGGGCGGGACACGTAGATCTTCTCTTTCCTCCAAAATTGCGGACATTAGGGTGTTTCATAATTGAAACTTTGACCCCAACTTATGCCCCGATTTCTGCCTCAACTCTGCCTCAACTTGGCTCGAGTTGGGGCAGAAGTTGGAGCCCCGTTTTTGAAACACCTGAGTGAGAAATTCTGCCTTAACTCCGGAGTTGAGCAGATTGACTATATCAGCAACGACTTGATGGAAGGCTAAAAACACGCATTAGCCGAAGTTGGGGTACCGAGTTGGGGCAGAAGTTGGGGCAGAATTTGGATGACAAGTCGTGCTGCAACGCACAATTTCAGCCCCAACTCCAAACTTGTGCCCCAACTCCTGCCTCAACTTCCGACAAGTTGGGGCTCGCCACATACGCGGATGTTGGGCACTGCTGTCTGATCTCTTATAGCAATTAGCCCTGTCAGCAATCACTACCAACGATAGAAAAGGCGTGAGTGGCACTAAGTATCTGGCAGGGCCAGATGTGCTAGACATTACCATCCATCCACGAAATTGATGACGAATTCCGAACTTGGTGTGTTGGAATGCAGAACACAGGTCTTTACAGTAATCCCAAACTCAATAGAGTTCAGAAGGCTGAGAAATCCGAGGTATATACCGTGCGAGGATACATACCCTCGCACGTTCGTCCGATATCCCAGATGTCGACTCGGGGGTGAAAAAGATGGCCATTTGCAACCGTGGGAACTTTAATTTGATCTCACCATCGCTATGCATATGTACTCTAACTCTCGTGGAGCTCAGGTACCTGGATGTATAAACCATGCAGTGCAGTAGAATGGCACAACCCACAACTGTAGAGTTTCTCAAACCTCTCAAACCTATGAATGTTCGTTCAACTTGTATATAAGATGCGCGATGTACTCAGGCTCTAGGTCGACATTAAACCTGTATCTCAGGTGAGAGAGGGAGGTATTGACGCATTCATCCGCGGCCACAATCCGTGGGAAGGACTGTGGAGCAGTGGAGCCAGGAGGAAGGAGCGATGTGGCGGTGAAAGTGATGTGGAGCTCTGGGAGCCAATCAGGTTGTGTGGTCGAAGACAAACCGTTGTCGATTCTTATATAGATTCCGGCGCACAGAATCCTTTGGCGCCCATTAGACCTGAAACAGCTCCCTACGTCAGCGACCGGGAAGCTTTATCGGTGTGGTAACGGCTCCGCGGCTTAGTGAGGTTAAGATTTCCCAAGATGTACTGCATAAAATAGGCGTAACTTGTCAATTGTCCTTCGCTGCGTCCCCGATGGCCCCACAACTCAGTGTCGCTCAAGCGCGCCTGGCTCACATAACAATGTGTCTAGCCACGACGTCGGCCACACTGGATATCCTGTCAAAAACTTTGAATACTCCCTTCTTGAAGGTAATTTCCAACACGACCCAGGCGCTCCTCCAATCTGTCCAGGTATTCCTCTCCTCGGTCCGCTTTATGAGCTGACAGCTTACTCGGTGCAAATAGACACTCAAGCGGAATAAAACCGAGTGCACAGAATTAATGGAACAGGCCTGTGACTTACTCAACACCATTATCGTCGTCCATCTGGAGTCAGACACGTGTGGAGAGCTGCCGCCCAGTGTTCTGGCGGATATTGCGAAGTTCGCGGGGTCGGTACCGCACATAACATGGATGCGGCGCGCTACTGAACACCATCACTCAGAACGTTACAGACAATATACACTTTCGTTCAGGCACAGCAAGGGAGCAAAGTCAAGCTGTTCCTGCGGCAAAATGAAATGAGCACTTTACTCAAGGAATGCAAGGCCGGCATTGATCAGGCGTTTGAGTCTTTCCAGGTACGCCATCTCAATGACTTCGCGCGCGCGATGCCGACCGGAATCAGATTCAGAGCGTCAAGTCTCTTACTCATCTTCAAGACATGGAAGAATCCCTGGCGAAGAGGCACCAGGAGGTTCTCGCCATGATTGATCCCACCAGCTCGGATGGTGCCTCCTCGGTATTCAAAACTGTTATCCCTGCTCATCCAATCTCGACTAATTCAATCCAGATCAG